TGAAATCTCGATTATCACTTTATCATGCGAGAGTATAAAATGTTCGGTGACACCCGAACTTAGCCCTTCCTTACTTGTTTTCTTTAATTTCTCTTATAATTATTTTATTATATTTTCTCCACACAGTGATGTTGGTTTCCTTGCCATTTTTATTTTTTACCATACTGATCTATCGGGCCATACCGGAGCTATATAAAAATCTATACAACAAATGCTTAGTTTGCTATCTGTTCGCGCTGGCAATTGCCAGTACGATGATGATTCTGGTCAATTTGAGAACGAAGGATTACAGTCCCGTTGCATGTAGTATAATTGGTGAGTGTCTTTTTATGGATTTGATTTAAGTTTTCAATTTACTTTCATACCAACATATTTATATACGTTTCTTGTATATTAGGTTCAGTCGCTTATTACTTTTACCTGGGCGCTTTCTTCTGGCTCAATAGCATTTGTTACGATATTTGGGCCACATTTTCTGGATACTTCACCGTTGCATCACAACAAGCGACACGTACACTTTTTCGCAAGTACTCACTCTACGCTTGGGGAGTGCCATTGTTGATGACTGTTGTTACCATGACATTACAGTTTTCTGATATAGATAATCGATACAAATCGGGTATCGGTTATTCCTATTGTTGGCTGAAAAGTAAGACAATTCATATTGCAATAATTGATTATCTTTAATTTCATTTCTTCTTACTTAAAGCCGATGATTGGTCAGCTATGATGTATTTTCATGGACCCTGTTTATTGCTCATCGCCGTTAATACAGTGATGTTTTGTTTAACTGTGCATAAGATCTATAGCGATAGCCAAGAAATTAAGGGCGTCTCACGCAGCATGAACTGCACAAGGCACAGGAAATCACATGAGCATAGGTGAGTGGTTTGGTACGATATATGTAAATGCGAAAATACACTATTATACGCTATCATTTCTGCTAGTGCTTGACTATTCTTGCGTTTGTTTATTGTAATGGGTGTCAGTTGGATTTTGGAAATGTTCGGCTATATAATGGGCCCAAATCCGTTTTTCCAGGTGGCCGATTTCTTCAACGCATCCCAAGGCTTGATTATATTCACGCTCTTTATTTTGAAGAAATCCACACTGCTGCTAATTAAAAAAAGGTAATGTTATATTGTAATTCATTTTTCTAAATTGTGTTTGCGAAGTAACAGGATGCGAATCTGATTGCGACAACTTCAATTGACGATTCTAATTTAATTCTATCATTCATATGTCGGGTCGAAGTAGCCGAAATGAAACCTTGCTTTTTATTCGGCCATGAACTGTACCATTCGGCAGCACATCTCAAAGCATTTTTTCTTTTTTTTTTGCGTTTAGACACAAATTTTAAAACCTCTCATCCTAATCGATAATGCGTTTCTAAAATTTGAAAATGAAATGATTTGAAAAATTTTTCAAAGAAAAACCTGTTGAGAACTCAAAGATCATTAAAGTGGGGTTCGCAAGATTATCATATACTATACTTTCATGTGATGGATAATAGGTGGAGTGTTCGTGTAGTTAATAATAATAATTATATTTATTTATTTATTTATTGAAAAATTTAACTTGTTTCTTTCTTAGCATAACCACATCGGAATGCAAGATGATCATGTGCCTAAGACGAAAATTCAACCAATCGCCCGATGTCAATTAGAAAAATTCAAACACATCTTTTATATATGCCATAAAGTATTTGTAATACTAATTGTTTCAAAATGATATTTCTTTTTGAAATAAATGAAGGTTTAAAACATCTTACCATATATATGTACGGCTAAAATCTCATATATAGAGTTGGTTTCTGCGGCAAGTCATATAATAAACAATAGTCACGAGTAAGTTTCCACGAATGGACTAGAGACGATCGATCTCGAAAGATTGTAGTATTTACAAGGAAGGATATACTACGTATATGCATCATATAGTCCTGGAGGATTACACTGCCAGCGATCATCAGTACATTTCTTGCACGATCGATACCGGAACACGAAAGTGGAACATTTCGAAACTAAATATTTCGAAATGAATATTCGCAATAGACGACTAAGACACATTTAACAGCGCTCCTTAATTACAAGAAAAATTGTCGAGCACAATGCTTAATATTACAAAAGCCTGCTAAAGGCTTCCCCCAGCAAACATAAAGCATCAGTTTACTGATAGACTGAAAATATCACCCACCTCAGACGCACATGCCTCCGCCTACATGAGAACAGAGGGCGCAGAGGGGCCGCATTCCAAGAGGCCGAGCAATTCAGAGCAGCAAACAAAGAGCTTAAGCAAGCCATCGACGATGGCAAAGAGAAAAAATACCCCTAGGGCTCTGATTCCTAACTACGTCAGAGCTGTGGTACGAAGCTATCTTAGTAACACTAAACTGGGGTACCAAACTAGAGAGGAAACACGACAAATGGCGTCACGTCAGGTGCAACTTAAGGTTCCATACTAGGTCCAGACCTGTGGAAGGGTGGGCGACAATTCCTTAGAGGGGGGTTTTCAGTGGCCGGCAAGTGTCCCATACCGTTGCTGATGCGATAGCACTCATGTTGCTGAAAGCAGTTTCCACCCCGTCACTCGAAAAAACAAAAAAAAAAAAAAAAAAAAAAAAAAAAAAAAAAAAAAAAAAAAAAAAAAAAAAAAAAATAAAAAAGAAAAAAAAAAAAAAAAAAAAAAACCTTAAGCTTAATGAAAA